AAAGTTACAAGTCACAATTATTAATTTTATTCAGATGAATTCACGTGCAATACTATCCTAAGTTGAATGGTCGCATTCGATATATTGCAAAAAATTAAGTAACTCTACAAAATTGATGATGGAGAAAACTCGTTGCAAGATAAAAACTCCAAGTCCAAGCTAGTAGTATCCACTATAAACGATAAAAACTTACAATTTGTTCAGACTCTGCTAAACTTTAGTACTTCCTGACTGTAATCATCAATGCCCTCTTGGGCTGCAAGCTCTTGCTGGTGCTCCCAACCTTCTGAAACCGTTTATTTCCTATGGATCACGTTCTCCTTCAGCCGAAACTCTAGTCACCTTCCTCGATCTTTAGAACTCTAACAGATTATGCGGAAATATGGATTTTGGTGTTTTGATTATGTGGATTTTGGATCGAGAGGATGTTGAATTATATGAACAATGTGTATGATGCATTCTCTCTTGTAAAATAATGTTCAACCCACCTTGTCCACGAAGTGGGCTTAGGTATAGTATATAGGTTTTGGGGTAGTATAAGATAGAACTCTGAAAAATCGCGAACTAGGGTTTCACGAAAAACACCGTTGCTGGGGCGCCAGATGAACGATAGGTGTGTTGCTCGAGTGACAGGCAGAGGAGAATGATTTTGTCTTGGATGCTTGAGCAATACCTTTGACGCAAGCTAGCATAAATCCATCAGCTTTTACTCCTTGTTCCATAAGCGAACACAAGGACTTCTAGTTCATCTATACAACTTACCAATTGACTTTTTCACTTTTAAAACTCTTTCATAACTATATTTTTAGTCTAAAGATTACCAACAACTTTAAAACCTAACAAAAACAATGGCAAAAACAAAAACAAACAAGGAGAGAAAGCAAACGGTAAAACCTCTAGAAGTGCCAATACTAGTGTAGGCCCTGTGTAATGAAGCTCGCAAAACCTACCCAACATTGCTGCTGCCAACCATCTTATGAGCTCATACAATCGTGGTTAGATATATCAACAGCCACTGTGCTTTATGAATCACCAGCACAAACTTCAGAGCGACTGTCCTCAGTTAATCCACACAATTATTGTTTCCTGTTTGGACCAAAAAAACCATATATGTTTTATTCACCGCACATGAAAAATTTATAGGAGAGTTCAAAGTCTTGAGAGAAGAATTTGTAAGAATAATGTCTAGATGAGATTGTTAGGTTTCACAAGTTGGAGAAGTTGTTAACTTTTGGGGGTAAATTTAATGAAATTTTTGTGAAGGAGCTCTTTGCAATCGTACTGAAAATATATAAGAAAGGTTGGGAATCTATTTAGGTGGCGGACATACATTAGGGGCAAACTTGTTACCTATATTCCATATCTGTTAAGAGACTAGCTAGGAATGGGGGAGGTACTGGAATCTATTGTTGGAAAATTATTTAATTTGTCATATGGACCGACATATGTAATTAATTGTGCATAAATATTATCTTAAAGTTAAGTCTAAAATTAAAGTGATTTAATAAATAATTAAGTAATGGGCTTTGGATATCTAAATAAAGTGTGGGCCAAATTATATATGTAGAGATCAGATCCTTTAGAGTTTGCATTTGACGATGGATCGAATACATATGGAAACTATATATATGGTTATGGTCCACAATTTATATACAATTTTTCTCATTCTTTGTGACAAGCATATTGAAGAGGAAGATCCAAAACCCACAATTAAGAATCAAGACTTATAATCAAGAATCAAGAAGAAGGATTAAAGCAATTAAATTGAAGAACAAGAAATCAAGATTTGAAGATCCAAATTCAAGATTCATTAGTCAAGATACAAATGAATGGATGTAGGTATGTTCCGTATTAATTAAGTTATTTGGTGATTTGACATGAAGATCTTAGCAATTATGTAAAGTTTATAAAGTTTAAAGTTCATGAAAAATTTTACATCGGTTCCTGAAGGCTACCAATGATGAGATAGCTATGGAGATGACATGTATGAATTGGCGTGACAAAGTTGACAGCCTGTCTGCTTCTAGATTGTTACCAAAATACAAAGTCTTGGACAAAATCCTAATGCACAACATTGATCCTCTAACAAACTATTCTAACTTATCTCATGAGAGGGCAGTGGTTCTGTACAAGTTAGGTTCCAAAGTTTCCTTGAATGTGGTGAAGATGATATTTGATCAAATTGTATATGAAGGACCAAGGAGGGCAAAGCAGTACAAACTGCCCTATCCTAGTAAGATCCACCACTTTCTAGCTAATCTTGGAGTGCCATATATGGCAGTACATAGATTCTCTACTGATATTCCAACCATGGGCATGATTGAATTAGCAAATCTAGAGGATGTATCTAACCTAATTCCTAGAGCTCCACGCCATATGGCGCCAACAAACCAATCTGACTGTTTGGATGTCATTGACCACAGCTCAGAGTTGTCAAGAATCAGGTTGCACAAATTTTTCTCCGCACTCAAAGCTTTTTTAATAAGTTTAATTCATTCACAGAGTGTTGGAATAAATCCAGTTTTTGGGAGATGTCGAGGAGGCCATGAAGGTGGGGTTACCCATGGTTTTCCCAAATACCAACCAAAAGAACCTGCAACCGGAACTCTAGCACCATCTGAAGCATAGGGTTCTGACCCTCCTCCCAGTCAAATTGAAGCTACTGATGCTTCAGCACCTATGGCCTCAAGCATTAGAGGTGGTGACTTCTCCAAGAATGGTGCCAAGAAGTCCAAGAAGAACTGATGGTTAATTGGTTCTAACTCTTTGACTCTAACTCTCTGATCTAACTATTAGAAATCCTAAGTTTTTGGTTCTTACATTTTATGGATATCTGTATTATGGATGACTGTATGATACATAATACACTGTTTGGTCGACAGATTTTCTCCCCCACATTGTATGGTGCGCTTTTAATTTTTTTTATGATAATGGTAAAGTAGGGTAAGTAATGGTGAAAATCATTAATGGCAGGTAGTTAGTTTAATTCACTGGTTTTATATTGCTGTAATTTTGCATGTTGGTTGAATTAACTGATTCCATATAGAAGTGCTTGAGGTTTGATCACTCATATTTTTTTCTTCCATATGTGCTAGGGCGTTTAAGTTAGGGAAAACATGAAGTGTGATGAGAATTGACTAAGACGAAGTAGTTTCTATGAATTTGTTGATACACACACATGCAACATTAAAATAAAATATTAAATTTTGAAATTAAGTAAAGTCAAATGGGGAGATTGTTGAAAACATATATGATATATTTTTATAAATTTTATTTATTGGCTTTTTTGATATACTTGTGATTTTTAATAGTCATACTTTGGATCGTTAGAAAAGGTTGCAAGTCCTACCAGTAGCTAGTACTGATTGATGATAAGTATTTAGATCAGAATCTTAAGATTGTATTTTTATTGTTTTCTACATATAACAAAATATGATTTCTTGATATAATATTTGTTCGTGTAAAATAGATTTTTTTTTTTTTTTCCATCCTAGATATTATTAGATCAATTAAATAGGTGAATTTAAGGTTACATTAAATTCATATTGTCTTTCCTTAAGAAAATCTCTCAGTATATTATTTGATATACTACTTCTCTTACTGTGTTTAATTATTTAAGAATTAATTCTTATCTTTGATAATTGCTTTACCTATAAGTAAATTAATTAAACAAAGCTTCTTCCCATTCGTGACCTAGTAGTGTTCAGTTATACCGTTTTCAAGCAAGTTCATGTGGATTTGAAGTTTCATAAAAAATATTTTCAAAGCCAACGTCTTCTTCAAATATTTGGAGAACACAAAACAATGTGTTGAATGTTCAACCCCGTCTTAATCCATGTGGTGGTTGCGGTCAAGTACAATGGGAAAGTGGTGATAAAGTTAAGACCGATTGATCAACAAGTCAAACGGAGAATATATAAAGGGAGTTGGTCTAATTCTTTTAATTGTTCTTTTGCGAAATCTCAAAAACGGATACCATTATATTTTTATCAATTGAGTAGTGAATTGTTTCACCAATAGCATGACAGCCTGTAGATGTTTTCCGTCGAGATTTACCGTGTTGTATTGATATCTATATCTTTAATCTGCTAACTAAATTCTACACTTAGTTAAAATTGCTCAAGCACAGTATCAATTTGAACGTTGTAGTCAAAATCGTTAGAAATTGATTGTAGTAAGTTTTGCCTGCCGTTCAGAATTACAATAATGAATTAAAATTTATTTTTAATTTTTATAGATTTTAGAATTTACAATCTTCATATTTATTACCATGCAATATGGAACCAACCATAATTATATAATCGAGTATTAAATTTCAAGTATTTATCTTCCACCAATTAGAGATGGACTACGATTCCATTTTTTAACAAAAATAAATAAATAAATAAAATGAAAAAGCTAGTGCACCCTGCTTTAATATATTATAAATTAACATTTAGTACTCAAAATTTTTTCAATCTCATTATTTTTTCATCGTAGCAAAATTCAAATTGAGAAACAGTTTCACACATTAATCACATTAAGAAAAGTTGCATGCAATATCTTGTGAGAAGGAATATAATGCACAAATTTATTAAACTAGCAAGACAGTAGACATGGCAAACTGTTGCATTTCAGACTTGTTTGAGCCCCATTTTTTGCCCAAAATGTATTTTGAAATGGTATTTTGATGGATAATGTGTAATTGAAAAATAAGGAAAAATTTTGGATTTACGTTTAATATTATTTTATTGAAGAATATATAATTGAAAATAAAAGAGAGAAAAATGTATGTTGTAGAGTAAACAATCAAGAAGATTTATAAATCAAGAACAATGTGGATAGAGAAAATCAAACAATGTTAGATCACGGAGGTCATGGGACGAAACATCGCCAATTGGCCATTTAAAAAAGAATTGAAAATGAAAATGAAAAATGAATAAATAAAATATGCACCATCATTTCACTGGTGCTCTTCCTTGTTAGTTGGTGAAGCTTCAAGTTCCACTTCGATGGGTGATTCAACCAATCTCTCCACGGATAATTTCTCTACCTTTGGTTGGTGAGCCTAAGCCCTCTTCTCTTTGAATGGGTGATTCCTTCAGGTCCTCTTCCACTGGTACCGATGCAATGAATTCTTCCTTCATAAGTTGTGATTCTATTTGCTCATTTGTATAAGCAGTTGACTCTACTGATTTATCCTTTTCGAGGGAAGATTCCGACTTAACACTCTCTTCCTTGAGTTCTTCCTTCTCTAGTTTCGACTCCAATTGCTCATTCATATAAGCAGGTGACTCTACTGACTTATCCTTTCTGGGGGAAAGGTCCGCAGGAGAATTGACACTCTTTTCCTTCTCAAGTTGTGACTCCAATTGCTCATTTATATAAGCAGGTGACTCTACTGACTTATCCTTCTCGTGGGATGACTTATCACTCTCTTCCATATTGCTTGGAGACTGAATGGAGCCATCCTCATTGGTGGGCAAGCCCAGGCTCTCCTGTTTTTGGTCAGTCAAACGTGCAACCTCTTCTCTGGGATTTGGCTTTGGGTCGACTTTCAGAGGTCTAAGCTTTGCTTCAAGATCCTTAACCAAAACTATTAAAGATCTTGCATCATGAGATGCTGCTAGTTTCCCAGGAGATGATAGCTGTGATAGGAATTAAAGAAAAATTTACAAGCTCATTCCTGGATAACCGAGATGTGAATTAGCCAAAATATAATAAAATTCGACGAGAGAACAAACAGAGAAGAAATTTAATAGGAAGGTCGGTGATAAAGAAGAAAAAGTTACACAGCCAATATTTTGGAATGAAGTTTCCTGCATCGTTTACTATCTTACCTTCCCTGGAATCCTTGCCAGAGCTGAGTTTGTCTCAGTTCCACGTCATCATTGTCTAAAATTTAGAAAAATTACCGGGACATGTCCACAATCTGTAAAGAATTTCAGTAGCTTAATTCATAAAAACATTAATACTTACTCTTCTAGTCAGATTGCGTTCATGTTTGTTTAATTTAGAGTTCATTCAACACTTAAAATTCAAGTAGGACTAGAACAATTTTGGGTAAGAAACAGTTTACGCTTAGAATTAACTTCAGTTTTTGCTAGGCATGGTATGGTGCACAGCAGTTGCAGTTATTCCTAGAAAGCAACTCAAATTATGCACTACCTTCAAAAGTTTACCTTTTCCAGTTCTTCCACCCTTCCTTTCAGATCATCTGGTGATGCTTCCTTGTGAATAACTTGAAGAATGTACAGCAAGTGAGAGGGAAGATTCTCAGACCGATGTTGATCCATTTTTACGTGAGGAACAGTAGACTGGCAACCTACGGAATAGAAGGGGCACTTCACAAGCTTCATTGGACAAACAGTAATGCAATGCCTGTCCATCTCGCGCCTCATGATGTGATCCGAGCAGTTCTGCTCACACGGAAGTATTTTAAAAGGACAGATCGAATCATGATGGTCCATCTGAGCTGCACTAAATGTAGCATCGCAACCTTCGCTGTTGCAGGTCATGGTCTTAAAAGTGCACTGTGATTTATGCTCGTCTAGCTCTTCTGAAGACTTGAACTTCATGTCACAGTGAAATATGTTTTTGAAGTCAATGTTCTTTAGCAGCATCTGTGCAACTGATTCCCTCCTATTTAACAACCAAAAACCATTTATTTCCATTTCTTGAACTAAATCATCTATCCTGTCTTCTCTTCTTTCACTCAGTACCCAGCCCGAAACCCGACTAAAAAAATTCCTCTTTGAACTTGCAAAATCATCAACAAAATCTGAAATAATATCGAAAGGGTTTTCAGAAACTTCAGCAGCTGAACCACCTTCTAGCACCACAGATTCCGCCACAAAATTTTCACTTCTTTGGACCAGATAATCCACCATTTCTCTTCTGACGTCAACAGCCACTGAAGCAGGGCTCTTTAAGAGGCCACCAGTTGTGTTGTCAATACAGGCTGAAGCCAGACCAGGGAGTAATGCCTCTGCTATTTTATGAACTAAATAGGTATCATAAAGATCACAATGGAACGAGGGACCTCCCTCCTTTTCTTCTCCAATTTTATCTCGTCTAATCTCCATATCATTTGCCGGTAAATTCATGCTGCAACTACCTGAAAATATAAAAAAACAAAATACACTGCTTCGTGGTATGTGATAAAGATTCCATAGAACACAACTGCAAATGCTACTAACAGTAAATCTAACAGAATAATACAAATTACTATATTGAGGATAGATGGAAACTCAATAATACCTGGTGTCCAAGGACAAAAAAGGAATTAAAATATAAAAATAATAATATCACCCTATTTTCCTCTTCCTTCTCAAGGAAGAAAGAACTCTTTTTTTGAAGCAGATTTCTACGAGAATTATACTCCCATCCAGGGTAAGGCATATTGATATTACCATTGAAATCATGATATTCTGTAATCTGTATTACCACCAACCGAAAGAATGAGAAAACATGCACAGAGTTGGGAGAATAAGACAAGTACTTCACCATGACAAGAATGGAACATGAAATAAAAGGAATTAAAAGAAGTATTTGTCTTTGAAATTCCTTGCTCTATGTTTGGTCCAACCTCATAAACCATGTTTTTTTCATACTTATTTCGGTCACCTCTCATGTTTTGGATCAAATTAAGAGAAGATATCTGAGTCATCACTGTGTAAAGGATACTAAAAGAGGCCCTCCATTAACTCCCAATCACTACAAAAAGGGCCAATGCATCACTGTTCCTGGGTATCATTCCCAATCAAGACTTGAACCAGCAAATTTTCATGACTGTAATTTTTTTTATTTTGATAACCGTGGATGTCCGGACCAGTTTACGAGCACCTCGACTAATCCCACGGGACCCTGAAATTTACAGTCGGGTACTCACCTCAGTGACTCTAGTGGATTCGAACCGGTGACCATTGGGGAGCAAACCTAAGGCCTTACCAATTGAGCAACCCCTCAAAGTTGAAATTTTTAATGACTGTAATTGCTGATCCTAAAAACCAACATAACATTTAAGCCCCCGTTTGAAAACCCTTTTTTTTTTTTCATTCTCCTTCTCATTCTCATTTTTTTCTCTTTCTTCATTTCAACCACACATTCTATCAATAAAATAATACTACACATAAACCAAAAAAATCTCATTACTTTTTAACAACACATTCTTCAATCAATCACTGTTCCAGAATTTAATTACTTTCTAAAATGGGTGTCAAACA